ACTACCTCTTTTACTTTCAGTATTCCTTAGTTGCCTGAAGTTTTTCGCAAAGGGTTGAGGTCTCCTGGGTTTTTTCTCATCCATATTAGCATATCTTTTGTTGTTGTCCTTGTTCAACTTATATTTAGACAGTCATGTTGGTGAGACTTTAGGGGTGAGCTTCTGACATTTCTAGGAGACAGAATCTCACAACAAACTTCCTGTTCCTCTCTAGCTTTTACTTGTCAATATATTTTCCAAAAACTTCTCATTGACTTTTACTGAGGGTTCTAATTTCTCTACTTTTGCTTTCCAGCCCCAAGTCTTTTGTTTTCTACATGATCCATTCTTTTGCTAAGTTTTTCCACTGAGGTTTTTAACTTTTTGTATTTTTCATTTCCAGCATCATTTCAGCTTGATTTTTGTTCAGCAATTCTTTTTGTTAAATTATATTTTTATATCTTGGGTTAACTTCTACATTTCATTCATGTCTTTGTTTTTTAGAGTATATTCATGTTTTTTGAGTTGTTTGAACATAGCTGTAATTATTCCTTTAAGAGCTTGTCTGGAAATTTTTCCAGATCACTTACATTTAGGTGCTGTAATTATGTGATTAGGAGTTTGTGAAAGAGACATACTGTCTCTTTTTTTGTATATTTTTATCCCGTTCTGGGACTTATGCATCTTGGGTACTTTATTGATTTATGTTTTTCCTTTCTTTCCTTATGTATTTCTTTTAAAACTTCTCTTCTTTTAGCAGAGAATTTTATAATGTTCATGAGAAGGCTGAGATGTTCATTTTTCTCTGTGGGACTTGTGAAAGAAGTTCTGGAGTGGTGTAGCCAAGCCCAAGTAGACTAAACCAGATCCCCTTCTTTCTGAAGAAGGCTATATTGGTTGTATTCCTGGAGCAAGATTCTTAGGAGCTGTGGGTCAGTATGGTGCAGGAGCCCAAGATCTTTGTCCAAAGAGTGACTCCTGGATACATAGGTAGGCCTAATCAGGGGAGGTCCAGTTTTCTTCCCTAGTGCAAGAAGCTCCTACACAATGTGGGTGTGCCTAAGTAGGGAAAGCCTGATCTCCTTCTTGCTATACATGATATGTAGGTTGAGATCCCCAAGCAAAAATCTTGGGAGCTATAGTCAGGCCTGGCACAGTAGGCAGTGGCTAGCACCTGGATGGTGATTTTCAGGAGGCATAGGAGGAGCAGAAATTGTATGCAGGAAGCCATTCAGGCTGGTTTCCTGGTACACAGTGTTCCCAGGGATGTATGGGTTGGCTTAAGCAAGGAAAACAAGGTAGCCTTAGTTTCTGTTTAGAATGTTACTTCTTAATATGTGCAACCCAAGCACTCATGAGGCCAAGGCAGGAGAATTAATAGTATGAAGCCAGTCTGATCTACATAGAGAATTTAAAGACAGCTGGGGCTATCTTACAAGACCTTACCTCAAAAACAAAATGAAAACAAATCAAAGCAAAACAGAGTGATGAAAGCAGGCATGCTTGCAATGTTTCTTATCTTAGAGATTATTCTTTCTGAAAATTAAGTATGATGTTAGCTGTAACAAAACAAAACAAAATCTAAAGGCTACTGGAACTGCTTCCAAAGCAAGGGGAAAACTAATTGAAAAAAATTCCTATTTTAGAAAGAGCCAGTGTTGGAACAAAAACAGACTGGTAGACCAATGGAATTGAATTGAAAGCCTGGATATTAATCCACACACCTACGAACATCTGATATTCGACAAAGAAGCTAAAATTATATAATGGAAAAAAGAAAGCATCTTCAACAAATGGTGCTGGCATAACTGGATGCTGACATGTAGAAGACTACAGATGGATACATATCTATTGCCATGCACAAAACTTAAGTCCAAATGGATCAAAGACCTCAACATAAATCCAGCAACAGTGAACCTCTTAGAAGACAAAGTGGGAGGTACCTTTGAATGAATTGGTACAGGAGATCACTTCATGAACATAACTCCAGTAGCACAGACACTGAGATCAACAATTAATAAATGGGATCTCCTGAAACTGAGAAGCTTCTGTAAGGCAAAGAACACAGTCAACAAGACAAAAAGGCAGCCCACAGAATGGGAAAAGATTTTCACCAACCCCATATCTTACAGAGGACTGGTGTCCAAATTACACAAAGAACTCAAGAAAGTAGACACCAAAATACCAAATAATACAATTTAAAAAGTGGGATACAATTTTACGTAGAGAATTCTCTTTCTTAGTTGTGTCTTTGTGTGGCTTGGGTACCAAGGTAATTGGAGCCTTGTAAAAAGAGTTTGGCAGTGAGCCTCCTGCTTCTATTGTGTGGAATACTTTGAGGAGTATTAGAATTAGCTCTTCTTTGAATTTCTGGTAGAATTCTGCACTGAAGCCATCTGGGCATGGGCTTTTTTTGGTTGGGAGACTTTTGATGACTGCTTCTATTTCATTAAGGGTTATAGGTCTGTTTAGATTGTTTATCTGTTCTTGATTTAGTTTTGGCAAGTGATATCTATCCAGAAAATTGTCCATTTCTTTTAAATTTTCAAATTTTGTGGAGTACAGATTTTCAACGTATGACCTGATGATTCTCTGGATTTCCTAAGTGTCCGTTGTTATGTCCTCTTTTCATTTCTGATTTTGTTAATTAGCATGCTCTCTGTCTTTTGGTTAGTTTGGACAAAGGTTTGTCTATTTTGTTGATTTTCTCAAAGAACCAACTCTTTGTTTCATTGATTCTTTGCAATGTTTTTCTGGTTTCTACTTGATTGATTTCAGCCCTCAATTTGATTATTTCCTGGCATCTGCTCCTCCTGGGTGAGTTTGCTTCTTTTTGTTCTAGAGCATTCAACTGTGCTATTAATTCTCTAGTGTGACTATTCTCCAGTTTCTTCATGTGGTCACTTAATGCTATGAACTTTCCTCTCAGCACTGCTTTCAGAATGTCCCATAAGTTTGGATAAGTTGTGTCTTCATTCTCATTGAATTCCTGGAAGTCTTGAATTTCTTTTATTTCTTCCTTTACCCAGGGATGGTGCAATTGTGCATTGTTCAATTTCCATGAGTTTGTAGGGTTTCTGCGATTTGTGTTATTGTTGAATTCTAATTTTAATGCATGGTGGTCTGATAAGATACAGGGGGTTATTCCAAGTATTTTGTATCTGTGGAAGTTTGCTATGTTTCCTATTATGTGGTCAGTTTTAGAGGAGGTTCCATGTGGTGCCGAGAAGAAAGTATATCCCTTTGTGTTTGGGTGGAATGTCCTATAGATGTCTGTTAAACCCAGTTGGGTCATAACTTCTATTAGTTCTTTTGTTTCTTTTTTAAGTTTCTGTCTGGAGGTCCTGTCTAGTGGTGAGAGTGGAGTGTTGAAGTCTCCTACTACTAGTGCATGAGATTTTATGTGAGATTTGAGTTTAGCAATGTTTCTTTCACGAATGTGGGTGCCTTTGCATTTGGGGCATAGATGTTCAAAATTGAGACTTCATCTTGATGGACTTTTCCTTTGACAGAGAAATCTCAAATGGCCAAAAGGCAGTTAAGGAAATGCTCGACATCATTAGCCATCAGGTAATGCAAATGAAAATAATTCTGAGATACCATCTTGCTCCTGTCAGAATGACTAAAATAAAAAGCACCAATGTCAGTCTATGTTGGAGAGGATGTAGAAAAGGGGAACACTCCTCCATTGCTGCTGGGAGTGCAAATTCATACAGCCACTTTGGAAATCAGTATGGCAGTTTCTCAGGAAAATGGGAATCAGTCTACCTCAAGATCCAGCAATTCTATTTTTAGGCATATACCCAAAGGATGCACATTCATACAACAAGGATGTCTGTTCCACTATGTTCATAGCAGCATTATTTTTAATAGCCAGAACCTGGAAGAAGCCTTGATGCCCCTCAGCTCAAGACAATGTGGTACATTTACACAGTGGAATACTACTCAGAGGAAAGAAACAATGGAATCTTGAAATTCACAGGCAAATGGATGAAACTAGAAGAAACCATTCTGAATGAGGTAATCCAGTCACAGAAAGACAGGAATGGTATGTACTCACTCATATATGGATATTAGACATAGACAAAAGAATTTTCAGGCTACAATCCACACATAAAGTTAAGAAACAAAGAGGACCCTAAGAGACACATACATGGTCCCCCGGAGAAGGGGAAAGGGACAAGAGCTCCTGAACAATTTGGGAGCACAGGGGAGAGAGAGGGGGAAATGATAGGAGGTAGGAGAAAGAGGAGAGGCGGGAGTCGGGGGGAGAATAGAAGAGAGCAAGAAAAGATATATCTTAATAGAGGGAGGCATTATACTTTTAAAGAGAAGTCTAGCACTAGGGAAACATCCGGAGATCTACAAGGATGACCCTAACTAAGAATCTAAGCAATAGTGGAGAGGCTACCTTAAATGACCCTCCCCTATAATGAGACTACCTTACATGCTATCCTAGAGCCTTCATCTAGTAGCTGATGGAAGCAGAAGCAGACATCCACAGTTAAGCACTGAGCAGAACTCTTGGAATCCAGTTGCAGAGAGGGAACCAGCATAAAACTGAACCAGGCCCCTGAATGTGGGTAACAGTTAGGAAGCCTGGGTAGTCTATGGGGCCTCTTGTGGTGGAACCAGTATTTATCCCTAGTACACGAATGGACTTTTGGGAGCCCCTTCCCCCATGGAGGGATATGCTTTCAGCCTAAATACATGGGGTAGGGCCTTGGCCCTCTCCCAACTGATATGACAGATTTTGATGATTCCCCTGTGGTAGGCCTCACTCTACCTGGGGAGTGGATAGGTGGTAGAATGGGGGGAATGATGGGGAGCATGGGAAGATGAGAGGGAGAGGGAACTGGAATTGATATGTAAAATAAGATTGTTTCTAATTTAAATAAAAAATAATAAAAATAAAATCAAACAACAAAAAAGAAAAGAAAAAGCCAAACCATGTTTTTCATGAAATCATTACTCTTTAGAAGAATACCTCAAAGAAATCCAAGAAACCCCTGTACACTTACAAGTAAAAAATAGTGTGGTTTCATCCAGACGAATGGTCTTTGGCTTGATACATAAATCCACACTGGCAGTGTCTAAGATCCTCTGGTGAGTCTTAGAATTATAGCATGATGCTGAGTGGCAGTGGTCTCGAAGCCAGACATAATCAAAGCGCATCACAGTGCTAGCATATTGTAGTTCTACAGGAAAAAAACAGATTTAACAGAAACACTTACTTAGTAAAAATAAACACCAATAGAAAAAATACAACAACAACAACAAATTCTTTCTAAAAGACTTTTACTAACAAACAAGTAAGAGTAACAAAGTACAGCCCTTTGACAGTTGTTAAAAATACTATACAATTTCTATCATACAAATGGTAGGATTTTGGTATATAAAATGCATAAGAGTATAAAAGGCTTAGATATATACCTAAATAGGAGAGAGTGCACAAGAAGTATTTTGTACTATTCTAGCAATTCTTCTGTTATGTTTAAGTAATAAAAAATTAGAATCAACAGAAAGTGACTTTCCTACACACCATTTTACCTATTTAGAGAAAGTAAAAATGAGGTAAAATTTATAAAAGTAACAGACACTATGTCTGGAAATAAAATGTACAGAAGTAATAGGAAGAACTCTACTCAACTATTCTAGAAAACTTGAAGGAAGTCAATAGGTAAAAATACCATGTTCACAGACAGGCAATTTCAAAACTAGAAAGAGATAAATTCACTTAGAAATTAATGCACAAATTTCTTGTAATACAAATCTATCTTAGAGATTTTCATATATTAGACAAGGTAAATCTAAAATTCATATTGAAAAATTATAAAGTAACAACTTTGATAAAGAACATATGAGATACAAGTTATATAAACATATTATAAAATTATAATTTTAAGTATATTAGTAGAGAATAGCGCAAGAAAACAAAATAGCATTTCCAACTAGACCCATAAATACATGGAAATATGGTATATGAAAAAGGGTGTCATTTTATAGCAGCACAAGAAAGATTGACTTCTCTATAAATGGCAGTGGAAAAATTATCTGGGAACATAAAATTCTTCATATTATTAAAAAATCTATTTCTGATAGGTTAAAATGTATACAATGAAAACTTTTAATCTCTGAAGAAAGAAATTGCAGAAGATACTAGAAAAGGGAAAGATGTCTCATGTTCATGGATTGGTAGACTCAATATTATGAAAATGACCATTCTATCAAAAAATGTTATAGATTCAGTACAATTCCAATCCAAATCCCACAACGTTCTTCATAGAAATAGAAAAAAGTCCTAAAATTCACATGGAATCACAAAAGATTCCAGATAGTCAAAGCTATCCTGAGCAAAAAGAAAAATGCTGGAGGGATTGCCAACCCAGTTCTCAAGACATATTATGGAGTAAAAAAACAGCATAGTACATGCAGAGACATATACATACACACACGCACACAAAGACATATAGAAAAATGAAACAAAATAGAAGACTCCAACATGCATATATGTAACTATAGCCATATGATATTTGACAGAGGCAAAAAATATACACCAGAGAAAAGATAGCATCCTCAACAAATGGTGCTAGAAAAACTAAGTGTATACTATAGAAGAATTACTTTACACCCATATCTATTACTCTGCGCAAAAACTAACTCCAAGTGGATCAAACACCTTAAACTGAAATCTGAAATACTGAAACTGCTAGAAGAAAAATATAAGTTCCCTACTTGACAAAGGTGTAGGGGAGGTGTTTCTAAACAGGACTCTATTTGCCCAGGAATTAAGGCCAACAATTGACAAGTGGGACATCACAAAACTAAAAAAGTTCTGTACAAGTAATGAAATAATTAATTGAATAAAGGGGAATCGCACGGAATGGAGAATTTTTGCTAGCTGTACATCTAACAGTGGATAAACATCCAGAATATGGAAAGAAGTAAAAAAGTCTATGGAGAGAACAGAGAGGTTTTTTTTTCAGAGTTGTGTATATGTATGTATGTATGTATATTTATATGTGTGTGTGTGTATGTGTGTGTGTGTGTGTGTGTGTGCGTGTGTAATAGTAACAATCAAAGAAAAAGAAGCCAAGAATTTGGGAATGGGGTATGAGAGCAGGATTGGAGGGAGGACACATGGGAGTCCCTGGAGGGAGAAAGAGGAGGGGAAAAGTTTTACAAAGAATAAAAGAGTAAAGATTTTGTTTAAAAAGTAAAAAAAAAAAAAAAACCACTATACTCAGCAAAGCTTTCAATCAATATAGATGGAGAAAACAAGATATTCCGTGACAAAACCAGATTTAAACAATAAATATCCACTAACCCAGCCCTACAGAAAATTCTAGAAGGAAAACTCCAATCTAAGGAAGGTAACTACAACCAGAAAAACATAGGCAATAGATAATCCCACTTTACCAACAGCCAAAAGAGAAAAGGGGTGGAAATCCACATACAATTCCACCAAGAACAACCATTCTAAAACAAACAAGAATGAATAATCAAAGCTCATTAATATCCCTCAATATTAATGGTCTTAACTTACCCATAAAAAGACACAGGTTAACAGAATGGATTCAAAGACAGAATCCATCCTTCTGCTGCATACAAGAAACACACCAGCTTCAAAGACAGATGTTGCCTCAGAATTAAGAGTTGGGAAAAGATTTTCCAATTAAATGGACCCAAGAAACAAGCAGGGGTAGCAAACCCAATATCTAACAAACTAGACTTTAAACTGAAATCAATCAAAACAGATGAAAGAGGTCATTACATACTCATCACAGGAGAAATCCACCAAGATGAAGTCTTGATTCTGAACATCTATGCCCCAAACACAAAGTCATCCACATTCATAAAAGAAACATTACTAAAAATCAAACCACAAACAAAACCTCACACACTTATGGTGATAGACTTAAACACCCCACTCTCACCACTAGACAGGACTACCAGACAGAAACTTAACAAAGAAACAAAGGAACTAGTGGAATTTATGACCCAATTGTGTTTGACAGACATCTATAGGACATTCCATCCAAACACAAAAGAATATACCTTCTTCTCAGCGCCACATGTAACCTTCTCAAAAATCAACCTCAACAGGTACAAAAAAAGGGAATAACTCTATGTACTTTATCAGACCACCATGCTTTAAGGTTAGAATTCAACAAAACACAAACTGCAGAATCCCTACAAGCTCAAGGAAATCGAATAATGAGCAATTGTACCATCCATACGTGGGTCAAAGAAGAAATAAAAAAAGAAATTAAAGACTTCCTGGAATTCAATGAGAATGAAGACACAAACTTATCCAAACATATGGGATACTTTGAAAGCAATGCTATTAGGGAAGTTCATAGCACTAAGTGCCCACATGAAGAAACTGGAGAATAGTCAACACTAGAGAATTAACAGCACAACTGAAAGCTCTAGAACAAAAGGAAGTAAACTCACCTGGGAGGAGTAGATGCCAGAAAATAATCAAATTGAGGGCTGAACTCAATAAAGCAGAAACTAGGAAAACAATACAAAGAATCAATGTAACAAAGAGTTGGTTCTTTGAGAAAAATCAACAAGATAGACAAACCTTTATCCAAACTCACCAAACGGTAGAATGTGAACATGCAAATTAACAAAATCAGAAACATGACAACAGACACTGAGGAAATCCAGAGAATCATCAGGTCATATTTTGAAAACCTGTACTCCACAAAATTCAAAAATTTAAAGGAAATGGAAGACTTCCTGGATAGTTATCATCTGCCAAAATTAAATCAAGAACAGATAAGCAATTTAAATAGACCTATAGCTCCCAGGGAAATAGAAGCACTCATCAAAAGTCTCCCAAACAAAAAACGCCCCAGGGCCAGATGGCCTCAGTGCAGAATTCTACCATAAATTCAAACATCAGCTTATATAAATTTGCCTCAAAGTATTCCATGCAATAGAAGCAGAAGGGTCTTTGCCAAACTATTTTTATGTGGCTTCAATAACCTTGAAACCCAAGCCACACAAAGATACAACTAAGAAAGAGAACTTCAGACCAATATTTCTCATGAACACTGATGCAAAACTACTCAATAAAATATTGGCAAATCAGATTTCAAGAACACATCATAAAAATCATCCACCATGATCAAGTAGGTTTCATCCCAGGGATGCAGGGTTGGTTCAACATAGGAAAATCCATCAATGTAACCCACCATATAAACAAGTTGAGAAACAAAAATCACATGATAATCTCACTAGATGCTGAAGAGGCCTTTGACAAAATTGAATAACCCTTCATGATAAAGGTGTTGGAGAAATCAGAGATAACAGGAACATACCTAAATATAATAAAAGCTATATACAGCAAACCAACAGTCAACATCAAACTAAATGGACAGAAATTCAAGGTGATTCCGCTAAAATCAGGAACAAGACAAGGCTGTCTACTCTCTCCATACCTCTTCCATATTGTCCTTGAAGTTCTAGCCAGAGCAATAAGACAACAAAAGGAGATCAAGGGGATATAAATTGGAAAGGAAGAGGTCAAACCTTCAGTATTTGCAGGTGACATGATAGTTTACGTAAAGTGACCCAAAAACTCTATCATGTAACTCCTACAGCTGATAAATACCTTCAGCAAAGTGGCAGGATACAAGATCAACTCAAGAAAATCAGTAGCCCTACTATATATACAGATGATAAAAGGGCTGGAAAGAACCATGTGCATTCACAATCTGAGTAAAGCCATACCAAACTCCAACAGTATAAATAGTTCAACATCCACTATCTGGGATCCATTCATGATCTTCTGTTCTCCTCCAAAGGTCTTGGGCCATTTCTCCAGCTTTGCCCTGTTTAACACACAGAGCTTGTTTTCTAGACTCTGGATGATTCCTGTACACCCACTGCTGTTGTTCATTCTTGGTGGTGATCCCATGGTATTGGCATCTCCAAAATGCTGGGGTCTCTTGCAGCAACTGGGCTGCATTTTCCCCCAATAGCCCCCCTGGTCTCTCTTCAGGGACTGCAGCCCTGCCACTCAAGGCCAAGCCTCAGCTGCTCTCCATGACCCTTTCAGGCCTTCAAAACCAGCACCATCTGGATGACTCTTAAACTACCAAGTTTGGCTGCCGGCACAAGGCACAGCCTTGGCCTCCTTGAGAAGACAGCTTCTATGTGCAGATCCTCTGATAACACTCCCCAGAAGACTTAACCTCAGTGATGCTGGTCTCTTTCTAATTGCAGTTGATTCTTCAGCTTCAGTTGACCCTCATCCCAGAAAAACCAAAGGTTTTACTTGAGTGGTTTTGGGCTCTTGTTAATCACAGCTGATTCTTCTGCTCCAGCTGACCAAGCACCACAGACTCTTCACACAAATGACCTGATAGAGTCTTTGCTTCCATCTGAAACATTACAAGCCAGGTCTCCACTGTCTGCACTATATTCAATATTCTTTATCTTCCAGGATCCTGCAGGGTAGCCCACTGAGGTTTCAACACTCAATAGATTTTCTAGCCCAAAGATCCAAAGTCCTTTTACAATCTTCCCTAAACCTACATGATCAAGTCTGTCATAACAACACCTTACTCCTGGTACCAATTTCTGTCTTAGGGTTATCACTGCTGTGATGAAATACCATGACCAAAGCAACATGGGGTGGAAAGGGTCATCATTAAAGGATGCCAGAACAGGATGTCAAACAGGGTAGAAACCTGGAGGCAGGAGCTGATGCAGAGGCCATGGAGGGGATGCTGCTTACTTGCTTGCCTGCTTACTTATAGAATCCAGGACCACCAGCCCAGAGGTGGTACCACCCACAATGGGTTGGGCCCTTCGTCATTAATCATGAAATAAGGAAATGCCCTACAGGCCTGCCTACAACCCTTAAGGAGACATTCTCTCAATTGAGGTTCCCTCCTCTCTGATGACTCTAGATCATATCAAGTGAACATAATACTAGCCAGCACAGTTAGCTAAGTCTTCATTGCCTCCAACTGTCACTTCTCTTCTTCATCAGTGCTAACTCCCTAAAGCATGGGTCTATAATTCTGGCACTCAGGAAGTCGAAACACAAGGACCTTGAGTTTGAGGCCAACAGAGACTACATAATGAGTGCTAGTTTAGCTTGAACTACAAAGTGAGACAATGCTTTAAAAATTAGATACTCAAGAGAAAGATCAGTCCTAGGAACCTGACATCATGGTACACATCCAGGGGCTGAGTCAGGAGGATTGCCATGAGTTTGAAGCCAATCTGGGCTACATAATGAGGCTGTCTCAAAAACAAAAGTTTGGGGGCTCATCCACGTGGCCTACACCTATAGCTACACAGGAAGCCAAAGCAAGAGACACTCCCAAGCCTGTGAATTCAACGCCAATGTGGCAACGCAAGGAGAATCTGTTGGTAAGCAGAAGTGTGGGTTCTGGTGTGGGCATGGCAGGTAAATGGTAGAACCCAAGGGTTGTGACATGTCTTCTTTGGCAGTCATGGGCATTAGCTTGGGTTATCTATGGATTTTGGGGTTTCTTTGTTTGTTTTTGAGACAGGGTCTCACAATATAGACCATGCTGGTCTCAAATTCATAAATCTACCTGTCCCTGCCTTCTGCGTGCTGGGATTAAAAACATGTGCTGCCACACCTACCTGGAGACATTGTCACTAAGGCCCCTGACTGAACTTCAGCTTTTAGCATTCTTCATGTCTCTGTCTCCATCCAGCTTACAAGTGTGTCATGGTGCCCCAGTTCTTAACTCCTAGTTTGCTGGGTCCCTCTGCTTTTGATTAATTGGAATTTTGTGTCTAAGGTTAAGTTCAGTAGCAATGCCAGCCTTGGGCTGCTTGCCGGTTTGCAGATGTTCAGAGCCCACCATGGCAGTAGGAAGGAGCACCTCGGTAAGGTGGTCCGCTGGGTTTTCTTCACGAGGGAAGACATTGAGACACCTGGCACTACAGAGGTCTCTGGGTGTACCTAGCTGTGCTGAACTCAGAATGAATTATGCCTTTTTGGATTTCTATGATGTTGCTGTAAGGTATATATTAATGCATTTTTCCTTTTCCAGTATGAGGTTTGCCAGGGTGGGAAAGGCCCATCTCACTTTTCTTACAGCTTATAAATTAATAAATGGAATATTTAATTCTGTTCATAGGCTCACAGCAGGTGCAAACACTGAAATGGATGATAAAACCAGGTAGAACAGATGGCTGCAGCACAAAGCCCTGGGCTCCATCTTCAGTGCCACCTATACAGGTGGTGGTCCACCCCTAGTACCCAACAATCAGAAGGCTGAGGCAGATAAGAGCAGAAGTTTGTGGTCATCTCTAGCTACTCAGAGTTTGAGATCAGCCTGGGCTATATGAGACAAAACAGACTTGATGGTCCAGTTTACCTTGTCCCATTTAAAGTCTTACTAGCCCTCTCTCTCCCCCCCACACCATGTTCACCTCTCCAGTTCTGCCTCATCCCACTTCTCTATTGGGGTTCATATTAGAGAGTTTAGGTTGCTCTCTTCATATACTCTTTGAAATGGCCTGGCTAAAACACTTTTGCTGACCCACCCAACTCCAACTCCGTCATTTTGCAGAAGGGGAAATGGGCTTCGAATAGTTTTGAATGTCTGTTCACTATTAGAATTCTTGAGGTGGGGCTTTAGTTATTTACATTTCTTTGAGATGGTATCTGCCTGTGTAGCCCAGGCTGGCTGTGGATAGAAGGTGGCCCTCCAGCCTTGGTGCAGAGGTGATGAATGACTGCCGTGCCCAGCACCTTATTTTATACCATTTATTCTGGGCAGGAGATGAACCAGATGTAGTGAGGCAGAGAAGTACTTGAGATTCAATTTCCCTGTGTGCGGGAGGACTCTGGGCAGTTAGCTTATCAAAACCAGACTCCAGATTCCAAAACAAACCCCAGGGTCTGAAATGGGAAACTGTCCTGCTCTTGTTTTTCACTGTCATTATCCTGAGGCTCCAGTGTCAGACTGTTTTGTGGGAATAGCTGTGTTCTTAGTTAGCATTCACCAAAAATAAATGATGGTCACCAGGGGAAAAAGTTAGATAGATAGATATATAGATATGTGGATTGGATGGATAGATAGATAGATAGATAGATAGATAGATAGATAGATAGATAGATAGATAGATAGGATAGATAGGCAGACAACTAAGGAAATCCAACCATTTGCCACAACATAAATGACCATGCAGGACATAATGCTTAATGAAATCAGTATGGAATTAAAGATGTGATATAATTTCACATATAGATGAAAAATAAAAAAATCAACTATACAGAGATAGAGAATAAAGCAGTAGTTACTGGGAAAAAGACAACTGGGAACTGGGAGGAAATAGGAAATACAGATCAGAAGATACACAGTGGCAGAGAAGTAAGATGATCAAGACTATAAATCTAATGTACTATGTAAGTATAGTTAATAATAGTTTATAAATGTTTATTTGCTTAGTAATTAGTCATTTTATTGGCTACATGCATCTCACAATACCATGTTACTTAAATATACACA